CTTACGAGGCAGAAATGTAAAGCGCATTGAGACAATGTAATGTTGTGATAATGCGCTATATAAATAAAATTGAATTGAATTGAATTGAATTGAATAAGGTGGTCGGTGCCTGTCGCGCCAGCAATCCCAGACCCCGCTGGTGGACACCAGTGGTGAGGGATGCTGTCAAGCTGAAGAAGGAGTCCTATTGGGCCTTTTTAGCCTGTGGGACAGGTGACAGGTACCGGCAGGCCAAGCAGGATGCGGCTTCGGCGGTCGCTGAGGCAAAAACTGGGGTTTGGGAGGAGTTTGGTGAGGCCATGGAAAACGACTTCCGGACGGCTTCGAGGCGATTCTGGTCCACCATCCGGCGGCTCCGGGCAGGAAAGTGGTGCAACATCAACACTGTTTATGGTGGGGATGGGGTGCTGCTGACCTCAACCCGGGACGTTTTGGGTCGGTGGAAGGAGTACTTCGAAGACCTCCTCAATCCCACCGACACGCCTTCCAATGTGGAAGCAGAGTATGGGGACTTGGGTGTGGACTCCCCTATCTCTGGGGCGGAGGTCGCTGAGGTGGTTAAAAAGCTCCTCAGTGGCCAGGTCCCGGGGGGAGGATGAGATCCGCCCGGAGTTCCTTAAGACTCTGGATGCTGTGGGGCTGTCCTGGCTGACACGCATCTGCAGCATCGCATGGACATCGGGGGCAGTGCCTCTGGACTGGCAGACCAGGGTGGTGGTCCCCCTCTTTAAGAAGGGGGACCAGAGGGTGTGCTCCAACTATAGGGGGATCACACTCCTCAGCCTCCCTGGTAAGGTCTATTCAGGGGTTCTGGAGAGGAGGGTCCGCCGGATTGTCGAACCTCGGATTCAGGAGGTGGTGTTCAGGAGGTGGTGTTCGTCCCGGCCATGGAACAGTGGACCAGCTCTATACTCTCCGCAGGGTTCTGGAGGGTTCATGGGAGTTTGCCCAACTAGTCTACATGTGTTTTGTGGACTTGGAGAAGGCATTCAACCGTGTCCCTCGGGGAGTCCTGTGGAGGGTGCTCCGGGAGTATGGGGTGCCGGGCTTCCTTTTGAGGGCTGTTCGGTCCAGCTCTATACTGTCCGGCACCCACCGCGAGCCATCCCACCACCCCAACCAAACTCCAGTATCCCTTACATTTTAAGACAGGTGTACAAGAAATCTAAAATAACCACTTGTCATTTACATTTTATTTTCATTACACATTTTCTTTTAATTTCTCATGACTTATTATACAGATTTGTTGCAGACTTTGTATCCTTGTTGAAGTCGTTACAGAAGGTGAAAGTAACTTTGTTTTTGGCACACAGCATTGCCATTTTAACCACCGCATTTATGACCTGGTTAATGTTGTAAATGACCTGCAGACTACTGCAGGTGGCAGTTCTCGCGAGGCTACTGGCAGTTCAGTTTGGAGAGGCAGATGATTTTTTTTTAAATGATATTATAATACGGGAGATTTACAGGAAAATACTAATAAGGGAGGACGGTGTCACCCCCCGATCGTGCTGATCCTTCTGTGCCACGCCCCCCTCGTTAACCTCATGTCGATTCCCAGTGTTTCACGGCTGTTTTCAATTGTCTGTATTAGTTCGATGTATTTAAGTCCACGTCAGAGTTTGTTTCCCTAGTTCTGTCATTGTAATGTTATGCCTGGTTGTATCGTCCTGTAGCTCTGTTTTGTTGTTTTTTCCTTATGCCCTTACGTTTTCCCATTAAACCCTTTTATTTAACCCCGTTCCTGATTTCGTCCGCCTGTTTCCCTGGTCCGTGTTCTTCGTGTCATGACAGATGGCGGGAAAGAGGGGTAAAATACGGTAGTTTCCCGGCCAAAACGGGAGACTTGACAGCTATGGTCTGCAGTACATGTGCTGTAATAGCAAAGAGTACAGCACTCCACGGTTACAGTAGAGAGCAGTATACAAATTACCTACCAATTTTCCTCTCTGAAGGTCCAGATTATAGGAGCCACTGTGAAGCGACTCAGATTCTATTGTACTCTTTGTCCAGCTTCTCTCATTGATTGGTTATGGATAAGGACATGGTCAGCCAGAGTGACAGGAATCCCATCGAAACCAATGGTGTGATAGCAATGCACATTCAACAGTCAACTTTGAATTTTGATCTATTCCGGGTTAGCGGTATGTCGTACAATAATTTCTATTGATGCCAGCCGATGGCAGCATCTCAGTCTCTTTAGTGATAGCGAGTTTAATACAGTGTTTAACAGTGTATTATGTGGTGTTTTTTTCCGTGTTTAACCATATACACTTACTTTTCAATTACTGTATTTAGTTGATTACAGTAATTATTTATTTATTTATTCAGTGACAGTACTTATTTTACTTATTTATCATATCACACTCATATTTAACTTATGATATTTTCCACTTACGATGGGTTCATTGGGTTGTAACCTCATCATAAGGTGAGGAACACCTGTGGATCATTGAATGGGCACTAAAGCTTGTGCTTTCACTAAGGGAGCCATTGGGGTAACTCTTCCATTTGATGCTTTTGACCTGCCAGCAGCCAATCACATTCCTTAAGGCCCTCCTTTTCTCTCCCACAGGGATACATGTGGAAGAAGGGGCACATGCGGCGGAACTGGACAGAGCGCTGGTTCGTCCTGAAGTCCTCCAACATCTCTTACTATGTCAGTGAGGACCTTAAGGAGAAGAAGGGAGAAATACCTCTGGACAAGGACTGCGTGGTGGAGGTACAGCTACAGTGTGGGGCTTTCGTGCATTGGTTTTCCATTCACGGGATGACATTGTTTTGCCATATGTTAGCTGTTTGTTATAGTCGATTAATTCATTAGATGGTGTCTCTATGTGTATCGGTATATGTTAGCTGTTTGTTATAGGCGTTTCATTCATTAGATGGTGTCGCTATGTGTATCGGTATATGTTAGCTGTTTGTTATAGTCGATTAATTCATTAGATGGTATCTCTATGTGTATCGGTATATGTTAGCTGTTTGTTATAGCCGATTAATTCATTAGATGGTGTCTCTATGTGTATCGGTATATGCAGGGACGGATTATGGATTGTGTGGGCCCCTGGGCAAAACGTTCGCGAGGGCCCCCAAACCACCCCCCACCACCAGCACCACCACCACAACCACCACAATTCAAGGGCCCTTGGCAGCCAAACGCCCTCCCTCCATGTTTCCATCAGAGGCCCTATAGGGTCAGGGGCCCTTGTAGGCAGAGGATCAAAGAATGTAGGCCCTCTAAAATAG